TTGTTTCCCCTCATTGTTATTACAGTAGAGTTGTCAAGGAGACTAGAAAGTTGTATGCTGTCATTGTGGAATAGCCTACAAAGAAGGAAAAACACTGTTGAATTACATTAAAAGCAAAAGCAGAGATCCAGCAGCTCCTGGAAAGGATGAAAAGATGCTGGGAAATCAACCACACTTGAAGCTATTACGAATAAAACACACTCCTGTCAATGCCAGATACTTGTGTAGAGGCATTCCTTCAAGCTGGCTTTAGGATACTGTGTAGAAATTAACTAGATCTAATTCTTTGAGAAAGGTGAAAATAAGGCATCAGTGAAATAGCTGAGCAGAGAATTCTTCATTCCCAAATACTAGCTGGGATGTAGCTGTGAATGACGGAGAAAACAAAAGCTCTGAAATGTCCTGAAAAGAATATAACACAAAACCAAGTCCATAAACAGCAAGAAGAAAAAAAGAAGGTTGAATCCAAAAACTATCAGCATTTGTTTGCAGTAAAAAATTTCTGAAGCAAAAGCTACCTTCAAATAACCAAGGAGAAAGTATGAGCTAATGATATGAAAGACTGCAACGTTTCATAGCCTTCATTGGCATTTAAGGCTGCAAAACCAGACTTCTCAAGAATTAAATTGGAACAAAAGATTCCCATGACAGTTGTACAGAACTAGAAGCTTGTTAAGAAGCTAGTGATACTTGGAGCTGTTTTGCACTTCATCAGAAGTTATTCCTGATGGCAGCAGGTAAAAATTTATTTGGTGCATGTTCAAATTGGGACATGAGAGAGCAAGACTTGACTCTTAGTCAGCAAAACAGGACGGAAATGAAGAAACCATTTGCTGTAAAACAGGACTCTTCAAGAAAATTGTAAGGATGGAAGCTTTTATTTAATTATTTTATTCTAAAATTAGAAAGCTCAATAAGAAGTCTTCAGCAATGTTACAATACATAGATGATGTATTCCTCCATCATTCTGCGAAGTTTTATGCAGTCTAAGAAGCACAGTGACTTACATAATGTTGTAAGAACATTGTCTTGGTATTACAGCTGAATGAATGTGACAGTGCTGAGAAAAGCATGTGCATAAGCAGATAACTCTGTAGTGTCGGTAGTCAGACATCTGCAGTTCTGCCTTCCACAAAGGTGTAGCGCACCAGAAATTTGAACTTTCTTTTCATTGGTAGAGTCATAGAGAAATTAAAAAGAACAAGTAAGTTACAGGCATCATTCACATCCTGTGGATCAAAGCTGGGAACTGGAGTAAGTGAGAATCAGTTCAACCTCAAGATGCAGCTCTTAGATAAAATTCCTAAAATGTTTAGTAGAAGCAGGACGCCTTGCAACTTGCACTTTCTTTATACTAGGAATGACTTCCATATTGAGTTGCACACAGAGGGCTTAGCAGTTGCTCCTAGACTGCTACTTCTCTTTCTGTGTGCTGCTCTTCATCACCACTGTCATAACTGAGTTCCAATTTGCCCAATTCTTTGATACTTCAAACCCCATAAATTCTTACAAGGTTGTTATTGATAGAGAGAGAACACTGGAATTTCAGCTGTTTTTTTTTTTTTGTTTGGTTGGTTGAGGTTTTTTTCTCTGTATTCTCACAAAATGAGCTGCAATCTGGCTTTACAGTGACTTAGGTATGTTAATATATAGTTTAACATTCCAAACTCAAAGCATTTCAGGTTTTTTAAAAATTAACCAGTTCAATCTTCTATCAGTTTTTACTGTAAAGCCTTGAAATCTTAATGACAACTGAGCTAAATCCACATTATAAAAATATATGGAGATTTCATTAGAAGTAGGTACAAGCCAGTGGAAAAAAAAAACCACAAGAGAAGGAATTTTGAAAGAAAGTCAAGTTATGCTGGTAGGGTTGCATGAAGAAGAAAGAACTCTCCTCCAGGCTTGTTTGTGCAGATGACACACAAATCTGACACACTCCATCTAAACTGATGACTTGAATATGGCAGCAGAGCAATCTTTCTCTGCCAGTAAGTTTGACACAAATATACTTGCACAGTATAACTCTCTCCTTCCAACCTTTATAGAGAATAGCAACATCTTCAGACTAATCTTACATTCTGAAATCAAATAATTATCTCAGAAGCAAAAGTGATCATACTGCACTGCTACCTCTTATATCATTCATGGTAAGGCTGAAATTTCACATACATGCGCTTTCTTATTTTGTTTCTTCTTTGAAAGCACCTAACATTAACAGGCCCTATGAAATTATAAAGTCCTGAACAAGCTGGTCTCACAGCTGATCTTACTGCAAGCAGGAAGTTGGTCTAGAAAACTTCAGAGGGGCCTTCCAGTATGAATTATTGTATGATTCTATAATACTAAAATATGAAAATTATGTGAAGGTTGAAGGAAAATAGTGTGAAGATCAAAAAATATGATCAGATAAGAACATACCTGTGGCGCAGAATAAAATTGTTGTCTCAAAAATATGTCTCAGTACAATTCTAAAGACAAGTCTACTGTCATAACCCCATCTTCATGACATAACATTCCCTTCAAAGCTATTCGAAGTTACATTTTTCCTACAAGAAAGCACTAGCACTGGAAGAGGCATCATAGTTTGCTACCAGAGAGAGTTCCAATCACTTCACTGAGAAAAGTCACCTAGTTTCAACTTCAGCAGTGCTACAACATCTGTTAAAGGTGGCTGCTGTGGCAAATATCACCATTATCCCCACCAGCCTCTTACTCTAATACAGAGAAATTAACCTGGAGACAGGATTCCTCATCTACCTGTGTAATACAGGCAAGGACAATGTCCTCCGTTGGTTGAATGGAGAGAACACAGCCTTCTTAGACCAGCATACCGCTCAACAGGGATCAAGTTGTACTTCTAAGATTGATAGAACAATAGCAGCAATGAATGAATACCTGTGCTCAACCGTCACCAGAACAGTATGTGGCAGACTAGCTTTTTAGAAGAGGAAACTATTATGGTAACTATGCAGCATCTCCAAGTACTGCCTATCTGTATTATATTGTCATTACCTTTCATAACCTATGGAAGAAAAAACTTGGAAAATCTTGGCATACTCCTGCACAGACAATACAAAGAAGATAGGAGAGGCTGCTTGTTTACTAGCAGGTTCTAGAAAGGTAGCTTCCCGCACAGCATCTAGCCTAGCTCAACATCTCAGCACTGAAGCTTGTTAGTAAATAACCTTTATTTCCCCCATACTTTTCATTGAAGAGAAACATTATTCTATTTTGTTCTCATGAAAAAGGTCTGTTTTGGCCAATTAAAAAAATAATCAAAAGATTTAAGAAGTGAAACTTAGTAGAAGGCTCTTCCATTTAACGAAAAACTTTCAGATTTATTTCCACACAGAATAGAAACATTCTTATGTCTGGAGTAAAGAAATGCACTCCAAATGCATACAAAATGAAAATGCATTGTTCTCAAAACCTCAAATGCATTATCTACTATATATAGTACATATACATACATTGTAAAATACAGGAATCAAAAATCCCTGTAACATGTCAATATCATGAGAAAGTGAGAAAAAGAAAATAATTAAGATACATCTCACTTGACGAATTCATCAAAATGAACATAGCAATTCTGGGTTTTACTAAATCACATTTTCTAGCAGTAATTTTTGAGCCAAAACTACTGAGAAGAGCTGAGCAAAGTTTTACAAAGGTAGGACAAACAAACATTCCAAAACTGAGAAGTGGATGAAAGATTTACTAGCAGACTGTCTGAATCCTGATTACTATTCGAATCCTTGTTTTTATCTCCTTTTAAGACAAAAGTAGATTTTTAGGACTGTGCCTATGAAGTTTGGTGGGTTCAGAGTCGAGGAAAGAAAATGAGGTATCAGTTTTGTAAACCTGGGGGACACAGTGAAAGTCAGTAATAACAGCAGGGGGAAAAAAAGGAAAGGGTAGAATTTTGGGGAAAAGTGGTTGCTATCAATGTAATCTCTGCTTGGGACAGAGAATTAGATCCACTAGTGTAAGCCTGTAGCCGCCTTCTTAGACACTGCCCTCTTGCTTCACTGAGCTCAGTGAATTTCAGTTTACTGCCAGAGGTTGCAGGGTCCTCACAACATGAAGCAGATGTCTCAGAAACTGTGTAAAATGCTGCAGGTGTGTCTGCAGCAGTTCCTCTGGAACTTCACAGAGGAATCACCAAATCACAGATTATCAGGGGTTAGAAGGGACCTCAAAAGATCATCTAGTCCAGCCCCCCTGCCAGAGCAGGATCACCTACAGTAGGTCACACAGGAACGTGTCCAGACGGGTTTTGGAATTCTCCAGAGAAGGAGACTCCACAACCTCCCTGAAAGAGCAGAGAAAGAATTTTTCACTTCTGTGGAGGCCTTTACTTGCAGAAAGTACAGATTTATACCCCTCAGATTTTTGTATGTATCCCTCCACTTCACACCCATAACACAGGCACTCGTTTTAGCCTGTCAGAGAACTGTCATTTAACAGACCCTCAGTACCTTTTCTATCACTTCATCAGGTTTTGATGAGCCTGATTTAACTTTGAAACTATCCCTGCGCTGAGCAGAAGGCTTGGTCTAGAAACCTCCAGTCCCTTCTCATCTAAATGATTCTACAGTTCAATGAAGAAAAGTTCACCATAGAGTCTTAGGGCCAACATATACTCCATTATTCTCTTCACAGGATGTTTGGAGGAGATGGTGAACCAGCCACTCTCATAAAAATTGCAAAATCTGAAGTTATAAGATTAATGATTATCTACATTTCATGGGATTTCATAGTTATATAGACTGCCAAATAATTTTTTATATTATATAAAATACAATTACATGGTCTCTATCATAAATCTGAATTCCTAATGTCCTGTAACAAAAGTTAGTGTTGCACATGCATTCACTAAAATAAAAGGTTTCCAAAAGATCTGTTAATATTTGTAAAATCAAATTATTCTTTAAAATGAATCTTAAGATGGCTACAAAAATGTCCACAGACACAACTACAAAAAAGTTGGCACTTACAGTTCTATTGCCTTGTTCCACATGATAACATATCCAGAAAGAATGAAGGACTCGATATTTACAATGTGTGTATTTCCCCTCTCTGTTCCAACATAAAGCCATTTACTCTGGAATGGCAGATGACAATAAGTAATCCTGGAAAGGAAAACAAAAAAAGTGACTGAATATCATATCAATAATACTTTTCAACACTTTTGCAGGTGAAATTATTGTGCCTTCCATCTTATAACCTAAGAAAAGCCTGCCGAGCAGGCACAGCATTCTGAAGAATGTGCAGGTTTCAGGGGTCATGTCCAGAAAAATCATGTAAGAGATGATGAAACAAAACAGGGACATCCTTGCTGCCTATATTAAGGGCAGGAATAAAGAGATTTACTTCCTGAGCACTGAAGTCAAAGTCATGTTATCTCTGTGAGTACATAAATTGCACTATGATAAGTATCCAAGACTCTCAAGTTAGGCTTTCATATTTTGTGTCTTAGAATAAGAATTTTTCCCAGTTCAGCAAGTAGAAGTTAATGGACAACAGCAGGATTAGTGTTTTGCTCAACAGAAGTGTAGCACTATCATTCCTACAAAACATTCACTCTAAGTATTATATCATCAACTGAATCTGTAGGATTCATAGTATTCTTACAGGGTGTCACGACAGTTTCTCATGATAATACATAAAAGTCTTCACAGATTTCTTTGACATTATAGTTATGATATAGATATTGCATAAATTCAAGCAATACTAAATCTGTATGAGACAAAAACGTTTGCCACTAAAATATAATCAAATGCATGCTAGCAATAGAGACTGAAATTTAATCTGATCTTATGGTATAGACTCATTAATTTTGACAAAAAGCGGGTATTTTGCTTTGTATGCCACATGTTATTATATTTATCATTCAGTTCCACAAGGAGGTTATTTCTAGCTTTTATATACAAATTTGATTTAACAGCTAAACAATTTTTGTCCTTAACACCTTCCTTTCCCACAAAGATACAAATAGTATTTAAGAGCATATATATTTCAATTTCTTATTGTACAGCAATCTTTCTGAATTAATTATAAAACAGTGAGGGAGGTGCTGGCTATCTTCCAGTAGTTTGGTCCTCACAGTCATGTAACGTCCTCTAAGTAGAACATTTGCCACCCTTTGAATGAAAGGAATTGTTCAGTATTTACACATACTTCTCATACTTTCTGTAATTGTTCCCTGTAAGGTACTCTCAACAAACAAAAAGATTCCAAACAGATTCTACATAGTTCTGCAGTTTTCCAAGTAGCTAATCATGTGTCAGAACATTTAATACTGAATTCATTCAAGCGAGCAATTTTTTTTTTTTTCCCATACGTATCACACTGGATTTAACACAGTTGAAATATGCAGTCTTCACATCCTAATTTATGGGGAAAATGATAATTGAATCACGAATTCAGAATAAGGCTTACCCTTCACAGAAAGCCTTGTTGATTCAAGTGAGACTTAAGTATGATATAGGTTTTCCTCTATTCATCACCACAGCGCTAAATTTTTCCATTAGTTCTCTAATTTTGGCAATGATTTCAGTGTCTTTAGTGGAAAGAGAACTAAGATAATTGCTTTGAGAATGGGAATTACAGTTTAGTATGCATAAATGAAAATGCTTTCCAACAGCAACTTAGTACTTATATTGTGGGTGCACTCAGATCGACAAACATCTGACAGAGAAAATGCAGGAAGTATATGCCACCTACATATTCCTTACTGGCATTAAAGCCATTAGCTTTATTGTCCTGCTCCTAACAGATACAACGAACAATTTCAAATTATAGTTTTACAAGTGTGAAGCTGATCCTTCTCCTTAAACTAAACAACACATTCTTTTGCTTTCTCCTCAGGCCATTTGGTACACTGTCGGTTAGCTTCGTATTTAGTCTAAATTAATTTTTTTTTTTTCTTGCGTTTCTGTACTAGCTCTTATTTTCTTTCTTGAACTCCAAAGCACACGTATGCACTGTTAGGTCTCAGCCCATGCAAAAAACCTTGGCTGATAAATCTTCTTAACCACTTCACACCGATGTTCATTCAGCATTTGTTTGTAGTAAACTGTTAAAATACAGGAAGAGAAAGTATTTGTGACTTTGAAAGTGTTCAGAATGTACCTGTCCAGTGACTGACAAATAAGAGTTACAAAATTAAACCTACTCAGCTTCCATACTGCTACCCCAAAGACTTGCAGTTGTGTCACCAGATGAATCATGTTCAAGTCAACCTAGGACCATACTAATTTTCAGTCCTCTGATAAATCCATTCACAAACCCATAACATGTATGGCAGAAAACAGTGCAAGACTGAATCCAATACCTTGATTACGAATAGTCTCAAAATCACCTCAGACAGCTCATGAGGCTGCTTTGGTCAGCTTTTTTTTTCTTTTTTTTCTTCTGAAATTACCTTCTAGGTTATGATCTCTAGCATGTAGTGCCATAACAACCATTCAACTAAATGGGTGTCTAATTTCGCAGCTACTGCATGTCATAGAATCATAGAATAGAGTAGAATAGAATAGAATAGAATAGAATAGAATAGAAATAGAATAGAAATAGAATAGAAATAGAATAGAATCATAAAGGTTGGAAAGGACCTTAAAGATCCTCAAGTCCAACCTACAGCCCTACACCACCATTACACTAAACCATCTCTTGAAGTGCCATGAAATATCCTCCACTTGCCCACAAATTCAAGAACCTAATGTTTCAAGAGCAACATCCCACAGTAAGAGAAATCAGACTAAAATACTCACTACTGGCCATCAGTTACTAGAATTTCCTGCTGGCCTATCTGAAATCGCAGGCATCAGTAGCTATTAAGTCTGGAGATAAGTATGAAGGACTCAAAAGACAATTAGGAGTTGCTAAAGAATGAAGAAAACAACCACAAATCTTTTAAGCTCAGCAATTTCCTCTTAAATAATTTCATTTTGTTCTGATAGATTTATGGGACAGCCAGATAAGAAAGTGTTCTGCATGTTCTTTCTTCCACAATGAAACCTACCCTATGAGTCTTCGCTGCTTACCCAGATGGTTGTTAGACCTTACCAAACATCACCATTTACAATATGTGAGCTTATAAGAAAATGCTATTCCCTTAAAGACAATTCAGATATGTAACAAATCTCTTAGAGCATAGGGATTGCTAGGCATTTTAATATGATACATTTTTAGGCTTCACCAAACAATGCCATATTTTCATATTCTCAGAAAATTATGCACTGCTCTGACTTAATTTTCTTTTACATTATGCAAATTAAATGCAAACTGCTTTATGTATTACTTTTACAGAAAATATTGACTTTGAGGCTTGAAAGCTTTGAAGCAAGACTCAGATTTTTAATGAACACCTTCCATTTCAGTAAGTACTGAAATTACATAACGATTTCTTCAAGAGAAAACAATGAAGTCTCATACTGTAGTTTGCATTGAGGATGAAAGGTATCCCTCTATTAGTCAGATATCCCACGAGGAAATTAAGATGTCCCTTGATGCCTTTACAAAAACCAGTCAATTAGCCATAAAGAAAGGCTATGCGTCTTCTTAAAGAAGGTAGGGGTTGTGGTGATTTATGCCAACATAAAGTGCTTCTGCCAAAATTTAATCAAATTGTCAATCTGATTGAGATAACATGGAACTCAACTAAATGGAGACCTGCAAATTTACATCACTTAACAGAAAGTCAGGCAGAAATGTGGTTATTATACGTTCTTAGTAGCAAACCACAACATGAATCTCATTGATTATTGCAAGAAAAAGTAAAAAATATGGACTAATACCAAAAAAAGGTGTTCCTATGCTGCCAAAATGGTCTGGAACATTGTATCAGCTTTTCAATATATTCAAAGCATAAAACAGGATATAAAATATAATTAGAAAAATAATTGTCAAATAAAACACCCAAATCAGAATTTAAGCAAAAACACTTAAGGAAAATCCTGAAAACATTTCTAAAATTATGTAAGCAATACAAGAGACAAGCACTGTCAAAAAAATCATCCCTAATTTCTGGAAGGAATATATTCTCCCTAACAAATCTTGAAGAGGTATATTTTTGAGAAAATCACAGTACTCTACAATCTAACAACTCTGATCAAACAGTCTTGTTATGTATTAGTAGAATACTACAATGCTGAAAAAATTTAGAATGCTACTTTCAGCAAAATACTAGTAAAAACCCTCAGATGGCTTAAAAATCATCTTTATTATACTAATCACACTGCTCTAAGAAAAAGAAAAGATAATACTGGGAACACTTCTTTCTGCTTTGGCTTTGTTATTTTTTTTTCTATTTTTAGTATGAAAAAATTTCCTGGAACACTATTCCTGGTGGAGTGTGGGGAGAGCTGTGGAAGATGATGAACAGCTTTTCCAGTTTTATTATTTAATTGCTCATTCCTTGACATCAAAACTGCAACTAAATTTATACTATGTTTTTTTCCCTCATGCAGATAATCTTAAATACGGAGAAGCATAGAACATATATAGCCCTTCTACCCAGCACTGATTGGCAGAAGGGTTCATTTTCTGTAAGTTCCTACAGAAAACAAACATCAGCTTGAACTCCCTCTCAAGGTCCTCCAGGCTCTCAGAACACAGGGAAATCTCACAAATTTACAGGAGAAGACAAAGATGAAACATGAAGGAGCATTAACTTTGGAACATGCGTAGGTGACAGGAAGCAATCTCAGGAGCTGCAAGGCACGCCAGCTGTGGTCCTGGCCTGACCACTTTTCTCACTTCTCAGGGACTACTAAGTTACAGCCACTGTCTTGCCCTCAATTTACAGTGACCTGTCCCACCAGGGGTAAGTTCAGCTGCTGAGGAAGCTGATCTCCTTCTTAAGAAGGAGACGCATATCAGAAGTCTACCTTTTCAGTGGAGTGATTACAGCTCCCCTCCCAACACAAGGAATCTTCTCCAGCCCCTTCTGGTGCTTTCAGTACTCTCCAACTGGCTGACGTACTTAACTCAGCTGGTCATCACCACAAGCTGTTCTATGGGCACTTCCTTGGTACTAGCCAGTGTCTTCCTTGGTACTAGCCAATGACCGGCTGGTGTTCTGTCAGGTCCTCTTTCAGAGAAGCTCTTCTTAGAGCATCTGTGGCCT